GATCCGGTGTACTTAGTGTAAGTGGTTGTCCAAATTCTGTGTACTATAAAGGCTATTCAAAAACTATGAAGGAGTTCTCTCAGGGTCAATATAATTATTAAGAGACATAATTTCATTCTAGAATAGCTAGCTAGAACTCGTAAATGTTACATAGTCATTCATTCATTCATTGGATTCATGAAAAGCAAAGTTTTTACGACAATATAGAAATAGTGAATGGTGAGCTTAGAATTTTTACATTCACGATATCAGCACGAGTTATTTGGACGTGTAACTCGATGTTGAATGCATGTCTGATATGTGTATGAATTCATGATGACGAGAGGAATGGCAACCTCGGTTTTGTACATCCTAAACTTTGATATCGTAACAGACAACTACTGATAGGCAATCCCATACGACTATTGTGGATATTTGATCAATCATATGAGACCGTGTTTAACTAAGTCAGCGATTAGTGTTGTATTTTCTGATAATTCTCTACATTGTTTGAATTTTCTTTGTAAAGTGCTTCATGATATTATCAAATAGCATACACGAAGGTACTATGCATTACTTGTTGAATTCGTTTTGAGTCAATGAACAAATTGATTCAAAGAAACATTGTTTTGTTGTGATTGAGATAAGTTGTAAGCTTATTTCTTTCAGAAGAGTTTCTCAAAACTTTAAAGCCTCTTGACTTTTTATTTTATAAAGAAAGTGGATAAAATCGAGCAAGACGATTATAGATTCTATGTATTTGTCGCAGTCATAAAACCTTCATGAACAATGGCGGTATTCACGTTCATCCTCGTTTTTTAGCATTCGTTTCATATGATTATTTCTCAATAAAGTGTAGATACTGCTCTACATTGAGAACACTCTCATATTCACTCTATGTTTGTTTTTGTCTTAATGTTAATCATACCAATTAATGAGGAATGTCATTGATCAGATTCTGATCATCAGAATAGGAACGACAATACAGGGCACAAAACAAACAATATATATATATATATATATATACATATACAAGTGAATTACAATTTTATTGTACAGTTATGTTTTTAAATGTAATGATTTAATATTTATAGTACCTTTGAATCAATCCTGATGGTTGTTTTTAGATTAGACTCATCTAACAAGTTCAGATTACCGAATAAGACGGAATTTTGACAATAAGAATTCCAACATCAGAATTACGGTAATGTCGAATTTCGAATATTGTCGAAATTCTTATGGAATTACGGCAATAATAATTATTAATGCGTATTTTATTGTCAAATTTCCATCGAAGATACGACAATATACATACGAGGTGTAGTTTCAATCTTAGTTTTAAAGTGAACACAAAGAAAATAATTAGGAAGTAAGCACTAAATGTTACATGATAAATTAGTTGTAAGTTTATTTTGTTAATTAACATCAGCAATAAGTAAACAAAAGAAAACAAATACAGAAAATTTATGTACAAAAAACAAAAGTAATAGGAGGTGAATGAAGGAAAAAGAATTCAGAAAAAACATCTATATCAATAAATATGAATTCTTTTTTTTTACATAATCCACATTTGTGTAACAAAAGCAATATGAATGAACTAATCCAAAAACATCCTAAGAAAGAGTAAAAGAATTTGAGTTAAATGTCATTATCATCGACAACATTATTATGAGTTGCAGTATTATGAATACCATCTTTTTTTTCCTTTTCTATTTTCTTGCTTATTCACCAACGAAAGACAATAGAATCGTTATACTGTATATTGTTGTAAATCTCTTGCACCAAGTTGAAATAAACGGTATACATTTCTGAGCTGTTTTGTTATTTTTCTCTTGAATATTCATTGCCAAGGGAGAATGGCATGGCTTTATGACGATAATTGCTACTTCATATCTGTGATACTCGCATCATTATGATTGATTCTTCACCTTTCAAAAAATAAATAAACGACCATAACTATGGGTGCATATCAAAGCGATGTTGGAGACGGTTGCTATACCCTAAAATGACAATTAAAACAATACATATAATATTTCGATTATAACTATACCCTCAAAACATTTTCTACCTTCTACACTATTATTGCATTGTTGATGCATTGGTTCTAAATTCCAGTATTTTACTGATATACGCGTTGCCCATTGCTTTTCGAAATATTAAAAAAATTCAATTAAGAATTTATCAGATGATGGTACATTTTCAATCAATAGCTCAATAGCAGCATCAACCACATGCTTCTTTATTAATGATAGTGCCATGAAACTCTTCAATCAAATTGTAACTTCGTCATTTTTTTCATACATTCTTGTCAATCCAATCTTTTGAAGATTTCTAAATATAGATTGAGTAAAATGATACCAACATTCATGAATAGTAATATCAGAAAACTAAAAAAAAACGATTTTAGTAACTTTTTTATAGGTTAATACGTGAATGAGCACAATTTTTCTTCTTTAAACAAATAACTTACTCTGTTTTCCAATGCATTCATCGTACTAATTTCAAAATCCAAATAAGCATATTGTGGTTCTAATTTAAGACCATAATCAGTTGATTTTTTTTTCAATTTTGAAAATCTTTTCATGCACATCTTGGGTTGTTTTTAACGTAAGACACCAGACCAATAGAATTGCTAAATAAAAAACACTCATTCCAGTACAAGTGAAGTTGGTCTGAACAAAAAGCGTCTATATACTTTCACCAAGATGCTGGTCTATTATGACATATACTTGAGAAAACATAATAGGCCGTGTCTTAAATGTTCCATCAATTAATATAACTTCACAACTACATAACATCTTAATCATAATACTTGGGTGGGAAAAATCATTAATCTTCCACCTAGTTTTTTTATATGTTGAATCATAAATTAAAAAATTTTCTCCACTATGCGTTGTTGAATACAATTCTGGAACTTCAAAATCTAATGATTTTGGATTGGTTGATAACATTTTTGCCCGAATTTTATGAAATTTTGAAGTTAAAAAATACAAAATAACTCGAATGTATATTTAACTATCTAAAGACATGACATTTTACATGCAAGTCAAGTGTATCTACGCTGCTTACCTCGTGCTGTTGGTAATAAAAAAATGCTGTTGATCACCATCGTTCAAATAATTTTTTACATATTCATCTTCTATAATACGAGTAACAGAAGTTAGTTCTATCATTACTCTTTTTTTGATGTTTTGTCATACTAAATAATGTTTTGACATTACGGTGATTTGGTGGATGATTATGTTCAACATTATTTGAATCCTTATACATGTTTGAATCAATAAATAGCTGAACGATAGCATGACAACCAAGATCTTTTTTCGAACAACGAAAATAACGATTGTCTTTTTTTCAATGATTGAGACATAAGATCATAGGTATGTCCACACATAAACATACGATCGTTACCACGATTTGTCTTACATCATTCAATTTCACCAACAATAATTGATCATGTTACTATTGTACCTAATTCTTTATCATCATCAAGATTACATGATTTATCTTCTTGATTATTATTGATTTGATTAAATTTAGTTGATAGTAAATTAATACATTGATTAGCATCATTAATATCAATAGCATCATTAATAGCAACAACATCGTTGTTACATTGATGAGTTAATTTTACTGTTGATAAGTATGTTGATGCTGTTGTTGGTATATTAACTAAACAGGTATTTGAACTAGATGGGTTAAATGATGGCGATGTAAAGATAACTGATGTTGATGGCACAGCTGTTATTGATGTTACTGTATATGATTTCAATGCCGGCAAAGCAGTAGATGATGACGCATATTTACCAA